TTTCTTTGGTTTTTTTTTTATTAGAGTCTTTGTTTTCGGGGATTTTTTTTCTCTAATTGTCTTTGCTGTGGTATATTTGTGTGTGTGTGTTTGTGTGTGAGTGTGTGTTTGTGTGTGAGTGTGTGTTTGTGTGTGAGTGTGTTTTTGTGTGTGTGTGTGTGTGTGTATGTGTGTGTGTGTGTGTGGTGTGTGTGTGTACTTTTATAAAGATAAAAAAAAATTATTTTATTTTGCCGAAAACTGGTCCAAAAAAACTTTTAATTTGAATTTTGAAAAAAGAAAATTTAAATAAAACATTAACGAGAAAAAATAAAAATAAGTAATTGCCTAAAAGTGCATCTAGGCGTGAATTGACTTTAATGCAATCAATTGCAGATAGCAGTTTTAACTCTGATTCAATTTTATTCAACTCGGCCGACCAATCTGCTATTTAATTAACCAGTCAACCATCCAATCAACTAACCAGCCAACCAATCAACCATCCAACCATCCATCCATCCATCCAACCAACCAACCATCCATCCAACCAACCGACTGACCAACGAGTCAATCAACCAACGAAACCGAGAGTTTTTTTTTATTATGAATAAATAATTACCTATATTACTTATCGCACGCTCGTAATTATGGATGGATAATTTACCATCTTTGCAATTTGCGTCGCGCTGACTAGTAGCAGATTGATCTCACGGCTCTACGCACGGCAAACAATAGTAATAATAATAAATTTAATAATAATAATAAAAATAATTAATAATAATAATCATCATCATCATAGCTACATTTTTTCTCTCAGTTGTTATCGAAATTATCATCATCCTCATCATCTTTTTCATCATCCTGTTCATCGCGTCAACGTGTCATCGTCATCACCACCATCACCACCATCATCATCACCATCACCATCGTCATTATTAATATTATTATTGTTATTATTATTATTATTTTCATTATCTGTAATAATCATCAAACATAGTTATTTTTGTTTCTTCATCAGCCTAGCTTTCGTGCTGAGATGAATTCATTACAGGAAATTTTTTAGCAAAAATGTCATCATCGTCGTCATCATCTTTTTGCCATCATCATTATCATCAACATCATAAACATCTCCCTCATCAACATCATCATCATCTCCCTCATCAACATCATCATCAACAACAGCAGCAGCGGCGGCGGCTTCAACAACATCATCATCATCATCATTTACGACGATAGACAGTCAATGAATGGCTCTCTACATCAATTACTCCGATTAAATGAGCTAAGAGAGAGAAAGAGAGAGAGAGAGAGAAAGAGAGAGAGAGAAAGAAATAGAGAAAACGAGACAGTTAGAGAAGAAAGAACGAAGGATCGTGCGGAAGAATGATGAAGATGAAAAAAAGAAATTTTCTGGTATGGTATAGATTATGACAGATACATTATTATTGTTACTCTGCGTTGGGTGGAGTAAGTGGGAATGGAGAAATTGAAATATGGAAAGCTAAATTATTATTTTGTTGTTGATGTGCTGCTGCTGCTGCTGCTGTTGTTGTTGTTGTTGTTGTTGTTGATGTTGTTGTTGTTGTTGTTGCGATGTGATGATTTTTTCATGTTCTGATGATGTTTCTGATGATGTTTCTGTTGATGATTCGTTGTTGTTGTTGTGGTTGTTGTGGCTACTGTGGTTGCTGCTGTCGTTGTAGTAGTTGTTGTTGATGATTATTTTCAAAACAATCGCATGCATAAATCTCACGTTTATTTTAAACCCTAAAAAACTGCGGCGACGTTTTGAATTACTTCCGGGGATCCGGAAGTAATTCAAAACGGGGATTAATCACGATTGTGGATCTTTGGAGTACAGGGGATAAAATTTCTAATTTTTCATTCATTCATTCATTAACTCATCCATTCACTCATTCATCCATTCATTCATCCATTCATTCATTCATTCATCCATTCTTGCCAACAACTACTTCATTAACTGTAAATTAATTTAAAGAAAAAGAAAAAATATGAGAGAGAGAGAGAGAGAGAGAGAGAGAGAACGATAGGAAGAGATTTACAGTTCATACTGTATAATGTTTGGTAATGTGCAGTTATTTGACGTTTGAATTCGATGCGTGTATATGTGTGTGTATGTGTGTTTGTTTGTGTGTGTGCGCGTTCGCGCGTCTGTGTGTGAGTAATGGTTGCACGTGAAATAAGTTTGATATTGCGCCAATAAATTATGAATACAAGTAGCTGAAAGGCCATGAAAAGGTTTCAACCGACTGAATGGGTTTCTATGCAAATACATGTGATCACATTCAATCTGAATTGAAAAAGTGCTAAAAATTTAGAACCTTTAGAAACTGAATTTAGAACGATGTTTGACAGTGGTTTGTGCTGATAATGACGAAGATGATGATGGTGCTGATGAAGAAGAAGATGATGACCACTTTGTCATTTTATTATCACATATTTGCCAAGGAAATACAAACGAATTACAACAGCCATTAACTATAGAACATTGGTTCTATAATCAAATCAAAATCAAATATATAATAATAATAGTAAATAATAATAATAATTAATTATAAATATAATGATAATAATTTAGAAAATTGTTTGAAAACTTTTCAAAAAACTAAAATAAAAATCGTCAAGGCAATTGTAAGACATGCCACGGTTTGATTAGTTTCGTGAACCTTGCGTGCAGTGACATAACTTGGGTGAAGATTGCCTTTTCAAATTTCGAAACTAACTTTATGACGAAAATAATTAAAAGTTGAAAAAATTGAGATTCTTTGCATATCCCTGCTTCAACCCATAAGAAAGTGTTGTATATTGGTAAATAGGTCTCCCCTTGGTTTAATTAAATAGTTTAAATTTGGTTTCGCTTTCCATATATTTCATATTTTTGTCCAATTAAAGGTGTACACCCATTTTGGCTTGCTTATTATGAAATGATGGGTGTTTAAATTTTTTATTTTAAAATAATTGTTATCTAATTCGGGGATTCAACAGGAATAAAATTTAATAAATTGTATAAATTTACGTTTTTCACTGAAAATCTTTTTCAGGTTTGAAACGTTTTGACCTAAAATTTAAATATATTTTCATTTTTTTTTGAAAATTTCATTTCAATTTCACAAAGTTTTTTTTTAAAAATGAATTTCAAATAAAAATGCTTCAACTTTTTATTGTTTGAATATAAAAAACATTTAAAATTCAATAAAATCACTAAATCATGTCTATGCTATTTAATATTTCTGCATTTCTTCTTTAAATAAAAGAGAGTACTTTATCATTTTTTATTTCATAGTTTATCATCAGAGTTAAATGTTAGTTATTATTGTATTTGGTTATTTATATCATATCAACATCATAGTCACAGAAAAGATATATATCATAAACATAGCCTATGTGTACAAACTAGACATGTTTGGGCATTTGAATCCTGAGTTTATCCTTTACCTTTGTGTTTGAGGTGTGTAACATATATATTACAAACACACACATGTATATTGTTTATATATATGTATATATATATATATATATAACGGTAACTATAATTGACAAAATGATACAATATAATTAAATTTATTTCATGATAATTCTGCCTATGACTATGATGATGATGACGATGATGATGACATGATGATATGTAATTTGATATCCTGCTAAAGCTAGTTTAAATAGCTTAATAGTTTTACTACTCCCTCTTTCAAATATGTTTGGAAGAATTATTTAATTATTTATCTGTTTAGAATAAAATCTATATCTCGTACACACACACACACGTGCGTACACACACACATATACACTCACGCACATACACATACACACATTCAACACACATACATATAGCTATATATAGCTATATGTATGTGTTTTAAATAATATATAAATTTATATACAATCTGTTGGTGTGTAATGTTTCTTCTTCAAATACATGAACTTAACTACAGACATTAATGTTTGCAAACAAAATCAAGGTATTAAATTATTAAATACACTAACGAAGATCACCACACATCAACAACATCAACATCGTTACTATAACTTCATCAACACAACAACAACATCACAACAACATCATTACAACAACAACAACAGCAGCAGCGTCAACGATGACAGCGATCAAACACACTCTCCAGAGGGAAGTCTTCCTTCCAAGTGAGGAGCGACTTTTCTCTGTCGTCCATGTTACCAAAGAAGGCAAAAAGAAGAAACCATGTTTCTTATGCACTGCTGGTCAGTATATTTTGTTATATCTATGTTCGATATTTTTTTAAAATTCTTTGTCTTTGGTATATTTTTTATATTTCTTTGTCAGTGTTAATTCTTTTATATGTCTCTGATTCACTCATCCATTCATTGTTTATTTATTCATTCATTTTTTATTCATTCATTCTTTCAAACATCCATTCATTCATTCATTCTTTCATTCATTCATTCACCTAGTGACATCACAGAAGCCCGCCCAAGTGACATTGTATCAAGTCAAAAAGTCGGACAAGAGTGATGCACTGAAGAAGAAAACAGCCTGGCCATTGAGGCAGATCAAACTACTGGATGCCAAATACATTGATAGAGTATGCGTGTGTCAGTGTCTGTGTGTGTCTGTCCGTGTGTTTGTGTGTGCGTCTGTGTGTGTGTGCGTGCTTGCTATCCATTCGTCTTTCAATCCATCCAATCTTTCGTCCAGTTTATTCATTCATTAATTCATTCATTCATTCTTTCGTGCATTCATTCCTTTTTAGGACGTTGGCGATTTTGAAATTCACATCGACAAAGTTTACAAATGGGTGGCTAGTAGTGTAGCTGAAAAGAATGCCTTCATTCAAAGTCTATGGAAGGTTTGTTTATTCATTTTTTCATTCATTCATTCATTCACTCATTCTTTCATTCATTCCTCCTTTTTGTTATCAGTTGAGCCATATGTATTTGGTCCAGAAAGCAGATTTTATCAACACTCCACCCAATCTACTTGATGGTTTACTACTTTGTTATTTTTTATCTTTCTTGATATCATTATAATTATTCATTCATTCATTCATGCATTCATTCATTTATTCATTCATTCATTCATCCATCCATTCATTCATCCACCCAGAGAGCCAACAGCAACTGCTGCACAACCAAACTGCACTGGAGTCCCTTCGACTTTCAATCCTACCTGACCAGGTGGGAGGAACCATGGGGGGTGTCCAGGGAGGGGGCCCAGAGGACGACGAGAGCAGTAACTGGAAGGCCCTTTCCAAAAAAGAGCAGTCGGATTTAGAGCTGCTTATGTCCCAGTGCGATTTTGCTATCAGCAATGCTGAACTCTTTGCTGGACAACTTACTAAAGATTTGTCTGTTCTCGATGGAGTGAGTGGATGAATGAATGAGTGAAGAAATAAATGAATGAATGAATTAGTGAGAGAATGGATGATTGGACTAATAATCGAGTGAATGAATAAGTGAATGAATGAACAGGACTGCAATGCAACAACACTGCTAACACACTGGCCTATGCGTGCGAATTCACTCACTCATTCACCCATCTACTCATTCATCCACACATTCGCCCACTCGTTCATTCACTCATTCATTCTCTCATTCATGCGTGTTTGCACAGGCGAACATTCACTCGATCATGGGATCGGAGGACCAGGTGATCGAGATGATGAGGTTGCTGGACAGGGGTTGTGAGGAGGCAGAACAAATCGAGAAGAAGCTGAGAGAGTACGAAATCGTCCTCGAGGTTTGTAGGTTAGAGGTTGAAAGGTTAAGTTTTTACGTTTGTAGGTCAGAGGTTGATGATTTACGGAAAATTCATCGTGGGGTATAATTCATAGTGGATAATTCATAGTGGATAATTCATAGTGGATAATTCATTGTGGATATTGTTATAAGGTATTGAGACCCGGAGCAGAAATATTTGTGAGGTCGTTTAATTGATTAATAATCGAACTCGAATTCGTTAACTTAGTTGCGGTAGGTTCTATTCCTATCGTGCGATATAATACCAATTGCTAACTATCGTTTAATCGTTAAAATGCCGAAATCTATTTACCATTCGGCCTAATTCGTCAATTAATTGCCGAAATTAATTCATTATTCGGCCTAATTAATTGATTTATCGGTTAATTGGTACAGTTGTTGGTGTTATGTTCGATTCCTGACCTTCGTCAATACTGTCGCCCAGTCAACGATCTATTAATGAATGTTTAAAAATAATTCACATTTCGACTCGTTTCAATTAATTTTGACAAATTTTAATTTAAATTCGAGTGAATATCAAGCTAATTGCACTTGCTCGGCTCGCGATCGAACCCTCTACGAGAAGGTCTACAGAAAACGGTCGGCACTAATATTGGCCGGACCGCTCGATACGCCTGCCTCAATTGTCAGCCACGTGGCTATCAAGATTACAGACGAATCACCGTCGAAATTAACTATACCATGTATTTATAATGTACAACATTCATGAGTGTGTAGTTACAAGACAGTGACTTCTAATTAGACTCACGATGAATTTTCCCTCACGATGAATTTTCCCTCACGATGAATTTTCCCTCACGATGAATTTTCCGGACAGCGAGGTTGAAGGGTTAAGTTTTAACGTTTATTTGGTTCACCGCAGGTCAATATAATTGTTAGAATTATATATTATGTATACCTAACAGACAAACAAATATACAAAGATTTTTGTATGCAATCATACATACAAACATTTATACATTCATACACACGCACATACAAACAGACTGTTAAAGACCTCATGGATTGTATGAAAGATAAGGATGCCCTTATAAACATTAAAAATAAAAATCATAGAAAGCTGTTAGAGGAGCTAGAAGCCTTAATTGTGGGTTTTTTGATTTGATTGGTTGATTGTTATATTGGCTAATACTTGATTGGTTGGCTGTTTCGTTGTTTAAATAATTAATTGATTTGATTAGTTGACTGTCTTATTAGTTAATAATTTGATTGGTTGACAGTCTTCTTGATTTTGAAGTATTTATTCAACCTACGTATTGACTGACCAATCACAGAGTAAGTTAAGTTTGGATCATACGTTTGTGAAGTCGCTTTTAGACGGTGACCTTTCGACCCCGCGTGGAGTTCACGAGTGCACACTGGCCGCCAGGGCTATTCTCAAGTGTCACAATGCTGAAATTAAACCTGGTTGGTTGGGTGGTTGTGGTCCATTCATTTTTTCATTCATTTATTTCGTTGTTCCTTCATTCAGTTAGTCATTCATTCTTTCATTCATTCTAGTATTTTTTTATTTTCCACTCACTGTTTCACTCACTCACTCACTCATTCATTCACTAGCTCTCTGCAAAATGATGGCCGTTCAAGACCAGAAGAAAAGACTGACATCTTACAAAAATGCATTCGTTAAAAGATTATCGCATCATCTCAATAACTTATTCATACATCAAGTATGAATGTATGCCTGTGTGTGTACGCGCACGTGTGTATGTACGTATGTGTGTATGTGTGTGTGTATGTACGTATGTGTGTGTGTGTGTGTGTGTGTGTGTGTGTACGTACGTGTGTGTGTAACTGTACGTATGCACTAATACATGCTTGTTTAAGTACGTGTGTACGTGTGGGGAGAGTTATTATTATTACTATTATTCATGATTAGGGAAACGAATTAGGTGGGGGCACGTCACAGCCATCGTCGACGTCATCGTCTTCCTCCTCCAGCCACCCACAGCAAAGTGAATTGAAGCTACCGACGCACACGTCTTGCTATAAAGAGCTGCTGCCCTACTGCGAACTCATGAATTGGCTGAAGATTGTCGACGTTGAAATATTCAATAAACTGAAATCTGTATGTGTGTGTGTGTGCGTGCGTGTTTGTGTGTGTGTGTTGTTTTTTGTAGGTTTTTGTATGCTTTTTATTTGGGCTTGTCAGTTGACAAAAAAACTTTCTGTCTCTTCTTCTCATTCTCTGCCGTTAATTAATTGATTGTTGGATCTGTTTATTAGTCATTCATTCATTCATTCATTCACTCATTCATTCATTCATTCACTTGTACATTCTCTCATTCATTTTTCTTTAATTAATTAATTCATTCATTCGTTCATTTTCATGCATCCACACAGGTTTACACAACCAACCTTAGCAAATTATTCGGCCAGCAAGTTAAAGACTTCATGAACTCGGCCAAACAACAACTCACTTATAAGAGAAGTATATTATTGGAATGATAATAACATGCGATGACGATATCTATAAATAGCGTTTCTAAAAATAACTACCAGATAATTTATCAGCCAATCCCGGTTCGGCTACCTTATCACGCAAACTCATGTCGGCCAATCAGACGAGCTCTAACTCGAGCATCAACAAATCAGAAGGCGTTGATAGGTGAATTCTCTTTTGTATTGATTGGTCAGTCTAATGGCTAATCGCGATTGGTTGATGAATGATTGATTGATTAGTTCATTGACTTGTTTATTAAGGAGAGATTTGAGTCCCTTTAAATTTTTCTCCTTCTCAGGAGCCCGAGAAATAACGCGAAAAATTCAGAAGTGAACCGTGAAGGAGAGGACGTTTTTGATCAGGTAATGTTTGCTGGCCGTCAACCAGTCAATCGACCAACCATTCAAACCAACCGACCAATCAAACTAACCGACCAATCAAATCAACCGACTAATCAAATCAACCGACCAATCAAATCAACCGACCAATCAGATTTACGAGCAAGTCCTCACTGAGCTGGAGGTCTGGTGCGTGGCAGAACAGGATTTCTGTGTTAAATTCTTCAACCTCGATTACACTGACCAACAACAACAACTACACGATGACGTCACCAACAACAACAACAGAAGTAGTACTAGCGACAACAACAGCAGCGATAGTCCCTGGGTTCAGAGTAATAAGAGCAACAAAAAGTAGGCTGTTGTTTCTATTCCTCTGTTTATTATTATTATTGTTATTATTATTATTATTATTACGACCAAGGCATAAGATAAACGAAGATGTATGCAAAATGATGTACGAACTGTTTCTATCGCTGGAATCCGAACTAATGGCTCTTGAGGCTTTTGGGATAAACTTGAATAATTAGTATGTTCGTTCGTTCGTTCGTTCGTTTGTACGAATCATACAATCATACAAACAAACATACATATATACATACATACATACATACATACATACATACATACATACATACATACATACATACATACATGTAAACAGACAAATACAAACACATACACACACACATACACACACACACATACACTTGCAGCAACTCCTTATGCATGTTGGTACGCATGAGCGGACATGTACTATTAACAGAAGACGTCGGTTCATTCCTCAGTAAGACGTTTGCTACGTGCCTAGTACAGATTAAGAGAAATTTTGATCGATTTGTTGTAAGTTTTACGAATGTGTGTGTGTTTATGTGTGTTTGTATGTATGTGTGTGTGTGTTTATGTGTGTGTGTGTATGTATGTGTGTGTGTGTATGTATGTGTGTGTGTTTATGTGTGTTTATTGTGTGTGTGTGTGTGTAAATTGTCCACTAATTTTAATGATAGAAATGTTTTTTCAGGACAGTTTGATACAGAATATGAGAGAGTGTAAAACGAATAAGAAATCGAGATTGGGCATATTACAGTTTGTGCACAAGTTTGAAGTAAGTTGCTTTGAAAAATTACTACAAATTCATCATTGTGTCATCATCATCCCATCATCACAATCAGGAACGACTAAAAATTCATCATCGTCGTCGTCATCCTTATCTTTTTCCTCATCGTCGTCATCCTTATCTTTTTCCTCATCATCGTCATCTTTCTCCTCATCTTCCTCCTCATCTCATCATCACTCTGACATCTTCATCATCAGGAATTCGCCAGACAGTCCGAATGGGTTTTTAGGTCGACCAACAGACGGACTGACCTTGACCGGGCCTACGCAAAGCTGACCAGCGCCCTCTTCACCGAAATCAACAGGGTGGCCAATGAAAGTCAGAAATCGCCTCCGGAAGTCGTTCATTTCGGTGAGTTTTTCCGTTGCGAATTTAAGATGGCGGATGTTTTGGTATGTTTCATGATTAGAAGTGTCTCATCATCCTCATCGTCTTCCTCCTCATCATTATTGTATCAATCTCAATCGTAATTTAACAATGAGGATTGGGATTTGGTTTGGGTTTAGTGAGAGAGGTTGAGGTTACTGGCGTGAGGTGAAGGTTGAGATGGGGTTAATGCTCCCGACCGTGATAACGATGGTGGCATGTTTGATTATAATTTGACGTATGATGATATGTGTTTATCACCACTTATATTTAATTATATTTCTGATTTATAATCATTTTTTTTCACATACATTCACAGAAAACTACCACAGGATCTTTGGTTAGGAGTAAATTTTGTTGTCGTTGTTGGCTGTTTGCTACTGTGTCATTGGGTTGTATACTTGCCGTACGTGGTCGTCATCATCATCATTGTCGTTTATTATCGTCACGTGATAGTAACGTCATCGTCAGCAACTTCATCCTCGTCGTCGTATTCTTTTTCCCACAGCCTTGCTCTCCGAGTTGAAGATCACAAGCCTGGATGCTGTGAAGAAGGAGGCAAAGAAGCAGTACCAGGAATGGATGCAAGTCTACGTGGTGGCCTATCTAGGTCAACCTCTTGAGAAAGTTCACGTACGTACGTGCCGTCACTGCTGTTGACCTATTTACATATTTTTCGACTTATTTATATACGTTCTGTATACATACATCCCGTTGTATCCAATAGATGTGATTTTTACGTTAGCCAATTAGTTCACCATTAGTCTATTTATTCATTAATTTACTTTACTTATTTATCCATAATTGATTCACTCATTTGTTCAATCATTCATTCACCATTGATTGATTGATTGATCGATCGATTCACTCACTCATTTACTCGCTCATTCATTCATTCGCTCACTCATCCAGCAATTCTTCCAAGGGGTAGAAGCTAGGGTAGCATCAGGAATGAGAATGGAAGACGTTGGATACCAGGTGCAGTTCAACAGGCAAGAACTCAAAAGAATCATCAAAGAGTATTCCGGAAAAGAGGTTACTAATCACTCGAATTCTCTTCTCTCTCTCTAATATCTATTCATCCATCTATCTATCGATCTATCTATCCATCCATCCATCTATCTATCTACCTATTTTTCTGTTTATCTGTGGAGAGATAGATCTATCTATCTACCTATCTATCTATATCCCATTTACTAGTACAAATACTAATTGGGTTAGTAATTTTAGGCTTACCCCTAATATAATATGTAATAATATAACTATAATTATATGAATAACGAAATTTATAGGTGAAGAAAGGCCTCGAGTTATTGTACAAAAAAGTTGATAAGCATCTATCGGAGGAGGAAAATTTGTTACAAGTTTGTTATAATTTAGTCACATAATTATTATTAATTATAACAATTTATCATAATTAGTTATAATTATTTATCAAAGTTATCATCACTTCACTATTGTTACGTCATAATTACGTTATCGTTCTTCTATACTGACAGGTCGTGTGGCATTCCATGCAAGACGAATTCATAAAGCAGTACAAGTATATCGAGAGTATGATTAACCGCTGCTACCCTGATTCCAACATCTATTTTGAATTCAGTATCGAGGACTTGCTCGGGTACTTTAGCGACATCGCTCTATCCCACTAATCAAAGATTAACGGGATTAACGTACCCATGGGATTGTTGTGGTGGGATCGTGATAGATCGCGACGGAGAAAGATGGTGAAATGGTGGAGTGATGAAATGATTGGAGATAGAATAATGTAGCGGTAAAACTGGTGAGGTAGGTGAAAAAATGATTAGGATGATTTAATGGTAATCCATGAAGATGATGGTGATGTGATTTCTAGTAAAGTCCATTCAGAGGATATTATCAATTTTTATATCATTTAATCATTATTAATTTATCTTCTCATTCATTTTCTCACGCTGCATCACTTGCTTAATCACTTCATGCGTAAGCACACACACACACACACACATATATATATAAATATATATACATACATATATATATAACAAATTGTGCTATTCATTTATTATATTAAATTATGCTGAAGTACATTACGCCATATATATATAAATAGTGTATATATATATATATATCCTTTATCAAAAAGCCCTATTCTTATAATTAATATATATATTTACTTGAATGTAGATTGCAAAATATGAAATTATTATGAAATGAAACTATACGTATATATATATATATACACAATGATATATATATATATATCTATATATATAGTGTATGTATCCATGCTTATGTGTATATATGTACTTATGCATGTATGAAATTTCGTACGTTTGTATGCGGTTTATATGTATGTATATGCATGTTTGGGCCTACATCTGATCGATTAGGCCATTTCTTAGTGACGAATATGAGGCTTTATATTCTATTTGTGTGTAGCTAAATTAAGATTAGCAACCAACAATAAACTACTAAGAACAAACAATAATAATAGGTAAGATTTTGAACGGTCAGAAGGTTATTATTACTTAATAAAGCTTGGCCAGGAATTCGTACGTATATCATTGAAGTAGTTTACTGAGGTGAATTATTCTGATGCGAACGCGTATCTACCGGTCTTTTATCCATCTAATTATCTATATCTATCCATCTATCTATCCACCCATCTATCTAGTATCTATCTATCTATCCATCCATCTGTCTAGTATCTATCTATACCCATCTATCTAACTTTTTCAATGATGATTTTTCGTTTCGAATCGTACGAGAATCTGTTCCCAGTGAAGATCGGGCTACTGTAGAACTCCGTCAGGCTAGTTATGTTAATTTGTCGGGCCTGTGTGGGCGTGGTTTTGAATAAATTTGAATAAATTATAGATCAGTTGATTGACAGTATATTATAAATAGGCATCATCGTCATGACTCCTAGCCTTATCAGCAAGATCTTTCTCGGAGACTTCCACAGTGTCAAGGTCATTGCCATATCGATTCTTCTGGAAGGTCATTTGATCGGCCACCAGCTGCTTGAGAATGAAAAGGAGAAGGTCGTTATTGTCCCGTTTGTAGGTCAGGAACCTTGAAAACGTCTGCGTTGGGCAATGAAATTGGGTCAATGATCAGGTTATTATTAATATTTAAGTCAGATCGTCACAAGGGTCACCAACTGACCTTTCTCATGCCCTTCATGACGCCATACTTTTGAGTGGAGATGAAACTTTCGAGCATAATTCTGACGGCCATGTTGACGTCATCATCATTGACGTAATCGCGTAAGTGAAGCCGAGCGTGGGCCTCTGACATCCTAATCGTCGATTCAATATGGCGGACTGTTATTGGGATACTGCCTGTAGCCTGTTGCATTTATGTAGTGTGCGTGTGTGTGTGTGTGCGTGTGTGTGTGTGCGTGTTTACATACCATAGATTCTCTTCTGAGATCCGAATACATCTTAGCGATTTTATCCTGGTCCATCTGGTTGAGTCTGGGATGTGATTTTTCTTTGGCATAAATGATATACTTTTTCAAAAGTTCTTGGGGTATGGGTTCTACTCCTGAGCTGTTTAGCTGCTGCATGGGTGTCTTTAGATACGTGTGTATGTTTGTTAGTGTGTGTGTGTGTGTATTTTTATGTTCGTGTGTACGTAAGTTAGTTTTGTGTGTGTTTAACGATGATGGTATTAATAACTGACCATGGACACGTTTCTTTCGTCGTCCTCAGTGAAGTTGGGATGATGTTTCATGTGACTTTCGACGACGAATCTGGCCGTACGTTCGTCTTCAAGGGGTTCTGCTTGGTCCCTTACGACACACAAGATGTCGAAACGTGATAGGATTGGCTCTGTGAGGTCCACCTGTGTTGAAAATCAATCAGTCTAATCATTGATCTGCTAATTAATCAATAAATCTATCCATCAATCATTTAATCAACCAATCAACTAACGTTTTCTGAGAATGTCAAGGACGGATCATATCTTCCGCCAATAGGATTTGAGGCTGCTATCACTGCACACCTTGCTTGCAATGACGTCACTATACCTGTGGTGGCGAGATAATTATTATCAGGATTATAATTTTTATAATTATAACGACTAATTATATAATTTTAATTGTAAATTTTAGGAACCAACCAGCTTTTGATACAGAAATACTTTGCTGTTCCATAGCTTCGTGAATGCTTGTTCTATCTTGATCATTCATCTGTGTATGTATGTATGTACGTATGTATGTATGTTTTTAGTTTGTTTATGTGCGTTCATGTTTGTATGTATGCCAACCACACAACAAACAAAAAAACGAACGAAAGAACGAACCAATCATTCACGTTGCGACACAACAAAAATGACCTTATCGAACTCATCAATGAGGCAGATGCCCCGGTCAGCAAGCACGAGGGCGCCAGCCTCGAGCGTCCACTCCCTAGAAACTGGGTTCCTCTGGACGTAGGCGGTCAAACCGACGGCAGACGCACCCTGTCCGGTCGTAAAAACGACACGTGAGGCCGTTTTTTCGATGTATTTTAGGAATTGGGATTTCGCAGTTCCAGGATCTCCACAAATTAGGACGTTGATGTCGCCACGAACTTTGTGCTTTCCACCTGGCGGATTTGATCGTTTGGGATGTGTCCTTTCGTATGCAATTCTTTGGTCGTTAAAAGAACTGAATTCGTCTTTTTATCTAACAACTACAGCTCTACAACTGCTACTACAACTAATTCAAATACATGAAATAGCAATAACATCAGACCAGGGTTCTTAGGTTCCCCGCCAAACATAGAGAGGGCAAGTGCTTTTTTGATGTTGTCATGACCGTATATAGAAGGGGCTATGCTTGCGAATATCTGATGATGACGTCATAATGATGTCATGATTTTGTGACGGTGGTATGGTAACGATGATAATGCGTATCGCTATTATTAACATAATAGTTCGTCATCATTTTTTTAAATCGTCGTCTTTGTAGCCAATACTAATCAGTCACAAACATCTGAGGAAACATCATAATTCCGGTCATCATCATCATCACTCCCATCATCATCACTGACTCTATCCCCAATCTTTTCATCTTTAGAGAGTTGCATAATCACTCTGACGTCATCGTCAGTCAGGTTCGAGGCAGCCATCTTGTCGTCATTCTTTGCAATATGATTGGCTAGGATAACTGTGGCAAAAACAGGAAAGCCATTGGCAGTGTTTAGTGATCCGTCGTAGTTGTTGTTGTAAATGCCCGTCAACTCCTAAAGGATTAATTAGTGAATTAGGAGCTAGAGGGTGCTATTTTAAGGTTCCACCTAGTTTGACTTACAATTTCATCCCCAGGCTTGCAAATGTCAACCAAATCGTCCAATAAGATCGCATCTTTCGACCTAGGAAGCCTGCCAGCAGGGACCTTACCTGGGCTTTCCTGAATTGTGATTCGCTGGTAATTCTTGTAAACAGTCTGTCAAAGAACATGTTTGGTCAATTTGATTAGACAAAAACAGCGTAATTACGCAAATTATGCAAAAATATAACAAAAGTTTATACTAATGACGAATCAATAACTAAGACTAATAGCTAAACCAGCAACTAAAAAGAAAAAGCCCACACACCTCCTCCATGTTAATTTCGAAGGGTCCAGTTGACTGGCACTCAGGGCATGACCCCGGTTTGACCTCGTTATTTTGCGATTGAAAGAACGGGCCGAGGATGAAAGAACATTTAGTGCAGTCATACTTGACCATGCTCAGCTGAGGGAGTACACCGGTGCAGCTAGTGACGACGCCAGCTGTTCTCAGCAGCTGGTTCAAATGCAGCTGTCTGAATTGATGGAATGAAGAAGATGCAAAAATGAAACTAAAAAGTTAGGTTTATAGATTTTCATTCAGATAATTCATTTTATTAATTCATTCACTCAATTTAATCCACCGATCAATTCATCCATCCAATCATTCATCCGCTTATTCTACCATCCATCTCTTCATTCGTTCCTCCATACATTCATCATTTTCTTGGCCATCATTCCTTTCAAATATCCTTCAGGATCCATTCGTTCATTCATTCATTTGCTTATCCGTCAATCTATCGCTAACTTACACACGCGCACACGCACCTAAGAGATCTAATTTCTTCAATGAGAGGCAGATTCGAGATCCTCACTCTGATGACTTTTACTATCTGCTCGTATCTGGGATACATCGACATCACCACATCTCTAGCTGCCTACAAATGAATGAAGGAATGAATAAATAAATGAATAAATGATAGACGAAAGTGAACAAATGAAGAGTAAGAAACTGAAACCAAATCAACTGATAACCAACACCACAGCACGTCTCCATAATATCGTCACCTCATCAAAGATTTTCAGCATCTCAGTAGGTGCTTCGGGTAGGAAGTAGGCGAGCACGTGTTCGGCTGATGCTAGTATGTTGTAGTCAACTACTAAACTGCCTTTGTTCACTGTGTGTGTATGTGTGTTTGTATGCGCATGTGTCCGTATGTGTTTGCTTATGTGTTTTTTTGTGTGTTTGTCTGTTTGTGTGTGTGTAGATTTATGTATCAATGTATGTTTTGTGATGTTTTGCTATAAGGTTATTATCAATTCATTATTTTATCATCATCAGTACAATCATCTTCATCAGTATTCTGACACCACCATCATTATCACCATCATCATCACATCATTATCATCATCATCAGATCATCATCGTCGTCGTCGTCATCACGAACTTTCCACCATTTGTCTAATCCTCTCTTTATATAGGTTATGCCCCTTTGAATCAACAAATGTTCTCAGAAAATTCTTGAACCTTTTTCGTTAGTGAAAGATACAAAAACATTAATCAAAGATATAAAAATACTAGCCAAGATACAAAAACATCAACCAAAGATACAAAAATGTCAACCAAAAATACAAAAATGTCAACTAAAGATACAAAAATACTAGTGAAAAAAAGAAATACACAAAAAAACATCACAATTTATCAGTTAATATTTACCAACGGTACACCACTATAACCAAAACACTGCTAAAACATCATTGCAGTACCATTGAATCATCACAAAATACCACAAAAAAACCAAAGAATATAACAATGATAAACCTGTTATAAATCTCAGTTCTTGGGGCCAACATGGATACCCACTCAGATACAGAATGGCCTTTAGTATCTTCCAAATTTTCAATACTTTCTATCATCTAAAAGTGGATTTAGATTATTGATAAAAATTGGGGATGAAGTGTTTGTCTTGTACAATGAATGGATGAATGAATGAATGCTGGAGTGAAGAATGAAACAGTCAATCAACAAACCACCAATCAATCAGCCAACCAACCAACCAACCTCTTCATCATCCATAGCAGCTCCATCAGCAGCTCGTTCTCCTAATCTTCTTCTCCCAGAGGTTTGCTGTTCATCATCTTCATCATCCGATTCATCTGGAGTCAATCGAGTAAACAATTAACCAGCCAACCAACCAAAAAACCAATCAGCCAGCCATCCAACCAATCCCAACTAACCATACAATAATCCAGGCCTCATTCTTCCAGTGGCGGCCAGCTCATCTCGATCTCTCTGTCTCATCTCTCTTTCAGCAGCCAGACGATCATTCATGCTCAGGTCAGACAGGTCATCATTCTCGTCTAGACCGTCTGCTTCGTACCTGTCTAACTCTGGAATGGCTCGGTAATCTCTGGAAAAAATTTAGTTTCAGTTATATAACATCATATGATGCTATATTAATATTTATTAGCATATGTATATGGAAACAAGTTTGATTTTGCAATTTGCATAGCACCCTTTGAGACAAAAAAATGAATAAATTAAAACAGCATTAACCTTTCCATATTGTCCCCAAACAATTCCTCGCCGTCTTCTTCCTCGTCATCACCTCCTCCATCTCCTAGTACATCACTTTCGTCTTCGAATGGCGGCAGATCTCGGCCAGGACTGGAAGCATCAGCTGCTGCTCTGCCACGTGCACGCCTCTCGCCTGGCTCGCTGGTTCCCGGGCTGGTGGCTTCAGAAGATGGCTCATCCTAAAATTATTTAACTTTTAGCTATAATAAATTATTTTTATTTTATTACTAAATTAAAATTGAATTATAATACAATTACAAAATTATATTATATATATTATATTATTATTATAAGTTAAATTATAATAAAATATAATTATTATATTTTTTAAATGTAGAACAACTGTGGCACTGGGTGAATCTTTACACAAAATGAAAAAATTAATTTAAATTTTTGTACCGTCATTTTGTGGGGGGTTGATTGCGGATGGAAAGCTTCCTTTTTAGTGGAATTATTTCAATGTTTAACGACAAACCTGTATGAAAAAAAATTGTGGCGGGAATGGAAACAAAACAAACAGCACGAAAAATGAACTTGTATAATTAATAAAATCAGACTATTTGACATGTTTGTATTTCTGGCTTATTGGCTTATTAACGAAACTGCATGGGTTTTAACGAGCAAGCTTTATGAAATATTTACTTGACTAAATATATTTAAAACAATGTGGTAATTTTATTAAATTTTATTAATTTCATAATAACTATCTATAAATATCAATAAAAATTAAAGTGCATAGAACTATTATATTATTTAAGGACTCTTCACTAAAAAGGAGAGAAAAGTTTTGTGACATGGCTATTTTTGGGGAGTTTTTAAGATTTTAAGATGAATTTAATTAAAAGGAATTCAAACATTGCAGAGACGTTGTACATAGCAGGCTAGCAGAGCATCGTCGAATGTCACCAACGATTATAAATATAAAATTATTTTTTCATCCGTCATAGCGGCACAGCGTCCTTAACTCAAATTCAAACTCAGAGGCATGGTGGTTCGTCTTTCAAAGTGTCTATATTTCGCCGTTATTTTGTGGTTCGCCGGCGTTTTTATCTTATTTCAAATTTTTCAAATTTCTCTTGAAAATGATAAAGTTTTAAATGGCAGATCTAAAAAAAATATTTTACTCACAAAAATTGTGAGTTCGCTTGGAATTGGATCTTCTAGTACTAGTACACCTCCTAGTGTTAAAACTAAAATTAGTGAAACTCGTCTGCCGACTATGACTAGTAGGCTTTATAATTTCTTACCCCAGCATCATAATCAGATAAATGGCGTTGAAAGGTTTTTTTGTATTTAATCAGTACATTACATACAATTATGATACTTTTGCATATTATTTATTTTATTATATTATTTGTACAAATATTTTCATGATTAAAATTTGACTTATCCAAAATTGATGCTATATAAATTTTATAATATAAATATAAATTACAAATATAAAAATTTATAATAGATAAACATTTAACTTATTATAGAAGACCCATTGCACGCCTCAAAGCTTCTAGTAAGTTTTCATATTTTATTTTATAAATATTAATAAATACTAATATGAATTATTCAAAAGCCATATTTTTAACTGAACAATATCATCGACAGCCACAGCCAACAACGACAGCAGCAGTAACATAAGTGAAAATTTGGACAGAAAATTCTTAGTAACTAGAAGAAAACTCATGGACAACATCAGAGATATTAGGTATTACCTGACATCTCATCTCCCCAAATTAGTGAATAGGTTGCTGGGTTTTACTAATGCTTCTGAAGAACTTGATAGTACTGTGGATGATTTTTTAGAAAATTTGGAAGAGAGATTTAAGTATGGATATTTTGACTATTTATATTATTGATTTTTAAATTATTATTTAGGATTATTTATTTTTTATTTATTCCTAAAAATTCATCATTTATTTTTAAATACAACTTTAGGTATTATCAAACATTAAATTTTGATTTTGCTTAAGTTGTTTCGCAAATTTATCATTAAAAATGGTACATTTTTAAACCCATAAATAAAAATAATATATTGCATATCAATTTATTGTATTTCAGCTACATGGAATATTTAGATGCAATTTCCTCCAATGACGAGCAGATTAGAACAATGTTCAACCTATCTAAAGCGATCCAAAAAAGATTGCAGAAATTAAATGTAGCCATCAATTTTTCATTGATATAATTATTATTATTATTTTTACTATTATGATGATTATTATTTAGATACGTTATAGTGTTATTATTATTATTGAAAATTCTTGGGTAGTTATGGTACAATGAGATTTTATATATCATCGTTTATTATTATTTATGTTATTATTATTGTTATTGAGCTATTATTATAACTTATTATTATTACCATTAAAAATAGGACCCAAAAGATTGCAATGCAACGAGATATCTCGGGTGCGCGATAAATCTTAATTGTGGTTTTGGCTGCCAGATGCATCACATCACATACTGCCTAATTGCTGCCTATGCTAGTGGCAGAGTGCTTATTATGGATTCGAACTGTTAATTATGATTATAATTATGATTATAATTACGAATATAATTATTAATATTATTATGAATGTTACTGGGATTATAGTTGTTATTATTTAGTGTCGTTAGTGATGATGATTGGTTGAAGGTGCGAATGACGGTTTTATGGGTGATAATGATGTGGATTATTGTTGACTACGGTTGCAATAATATTACAATAATTGTGATTAATAATATATATATATATTATAATCATAATTTAATTTACTTTATAGTTTGGGTTTATACGAATGAGAGTTGGGCGTATTATTTTGTCAATCCATCATTAAGCTGCCAGGAGGAATTCACAAATGCTTCTCGGAAATTGGGTGAGATTGTTTTAATTATGCATTTATTTATTCGTTTGTTCATTCGTTCAATGGCGTTCGAGTTATTTGTTTATTCCTGTCTCTCTTTGCGTATCTCCTTTCTCCTTTTATAGCATTCAAATAAAGTCCCCACAAATGAATATAATTTTTTTTTATTCAAAAGAGTACAAGTTGTTCGGTCCAGAAAAGCTTTTCTACGTAAGTTCGGCGTTAAGTCTCGAAGAATACGTTGACATATTTCCCCAAGCTCTTCCAGAGGATGTGTATGAAGTTATCAAAGGTTTTCACGGCCAGCCGTACGCGTGGTGGGCTGGTCAGTTGGTCAGTTTTTTGCTGAAACCTCAGAAATGGTTGGAGGATAAGTTATTGGCTGATGAAAAAATGATGAATTTTTCAAGTCCAATTGTTGGGTTTGTGTGCGTTCGTGCGTGTGTTAGTGCTTGTTTGTGTTTGTTGGTGCATTAGATATGATTTGATGATTTTATTTTACAAGTTTTTGAAATAAAAATCTCTGATAAGTGTAGATAATTTGATGATTTTATTTTACATTTTTCGTAATAAATACCTTCGATACGCAATACAAAGTCAAAAAATACGTATACACCGACAGTATTCACGTTAGAAGAACCGATAAAATACCGTCTGAAGCGTCGTTTCATGCTCTCTCCGAATATATGACCTATGTGGAGAAGTTTTATAAATTTCTCGATCTCAAAGAAAAGATAGAAAAGAAGAATTATAGCTTGGTACGTTAGGCTAAATCGGTTTTTGGGCAGTTTGGTTGAAATTTTGATGTGATTTCATGCTGTTGATGTGATCCTTCTTAATTGAAGTTATTATTTGATGTTATTATCGTCAGTATTCGTTCTCTTGCTGTTACTTTTGATTTACTAGCATCAACTGTTCGTATGTGGTGTCGTCATCATAGATACGTTATGTCTGTTGTTTGCCTATTTTGCTTTTATTACTAATATCATTAGTTTTATTCTTATTATTGATATTTATTATTATCATTAGACGGTGAGAAGAAGAGTTTACTTGGCTACGGATGAACTGGGTGTCATTAAACAAGCATTAAAAACGTAGTTATTATTATTATCATTATTAATATTATTATCATTATAATTATTATTATTATTGTTGTGGTAAAAATTTTATAAAAATTAAAAAAATTTAAGCTTTCAATGATCGCGCGATCATTAATATGATGATAGAAAAAATTAACTCCGATTCGTAGAAGATGGTTCTAAGAGTGTTGATAATGAAAAATAACAATGAGCAATCATCGATGATATCTTTATCCAGGTATCCGAATTACGAATTTTTATATGACAAAAAAGTAGTAAAATTAGCCCGGGGTCGCAAAAGATACACTAAATTATCCTTGGAGGGTATCATAAAGGATATCCATTTTCTATCCAAGTCCGACTATCTCGTTTGTACGTTCTCATCTCAGGTTTTGCTTTGTGTATTTTTATGTTTGTATTTTATGGTATTATGTTGCATTGGTAATGTATTTTCTCGTATTGTTTTGTACAAGTATTTTGTTTTGTATATCGTATCGTAGTTTGTTGTATTGTATTGTATCTATCATGTAATATTGCATCGCGGTTATTTTATTACCGAATCAAAATTGAACTTTCCTATTTGCAGATCTGCCGACTGTCCTACGAACTAATGCAAACCTACCATACAGATGGCGCTAACAGGGTTCAAAGTTTAGACGATATTTATTACTACGCCGGCCAAGTACACATGAAGTATGTCGCTAGAGTTCAGCACATCCCTAAATTCACTAATTCCCTAATCGATCCTTATGAAAAAGATGGCAACAATAGTTATCGGGATGGTAACAGAAGTAGTGCTTATAATAATAGCGATAATTATTATGATATGAATGTTTACAATGCTATTGGTATCATGAACAGCAGCAGTAGTAGTAGCAGCAGTAGTAGTAGTAGTAGGAACGTTAATTTTGTTAATTATCTGACCACCTTTACAAACAGTGATGATAGTGATGACATTCATGACCGCGATAGGGTTGATGATGATAGTAGTAATAACGGTACTAACAATTACCATGATGATGATGATGATGATGATGATGATGATGATGATGATAATAGTACTAATGACGTTGATGGAAGTGATAGTCATTATGCTTACGTTAAAAGTCAATTCGATTGTAATGACAATAATAAAGTCAAATGCCGACAGTTGATGATGGCTGTTGGGGACGAAATAAAAATACACGGAAACCACTGGGACGGTTACTCATTAGGGACCAACGTCAGGACCGCAAAAACGGGCTTATTCCCCTCTTATAAGATAGAAAAGATTGAAGTTTCTAGGAGATATTCTTTAAAAAATTATGAACCTGAGAATTAATGTGTGCGTGCGTGCGTGTGTGTTTGTGTGTGCGTGCGTGTCTCTGTGCTGTTTGAGTAAACTGCCTTTTATTTAACATTTTGTCTTTTTGCACGTGTGCTTCCCCAGAAAAATTGATCATTTTAAAATGTGAAGTGTAACGGTCTCACGGGGTGCCTACTTTATTTTGTATAGTATTTATTTATTTTATTCATATTTGTTAATTTCATCCCGTTTGTTCGTTTATTTAGTTTATTTTATTCGTTGATTTATTTTATTTTATTTATATGTTGCAGAAATGTATCAAAGCTTTTGCAATTTTCACGCTTTTGAACTAACCATAAGTGAGACATGACAAACTTAAAAAATGAAGAAAATACATACATACATATATATATACATATATATATATATATATATATATATATATATATATATATATATAATACATTAATCAAATATATAATCTTAAATATTTATAAATAAAATCAATATCGGCATAAGTTTTTGTCGTTTTTAAACAGTCATACACAACAAAATCAGCCAGCCAGTAAATTATTTAGAGCTGACGGACAGTCTTTCAAACCATCTATAAACCACCGGACGGTGCGTTTTTACGATAAATTTGTTTTTGTTTCGGTGGTGGCAGTTGCCTGGGAGAGGGACTGTCCACAAGGGATAGATCCTTTTTAGGTGGAGTACTCGACTCGGCAGGAGAATGCGGTGGCCTCACTCCGGCTGCCATCGAAGATTCCGGAACTCTGGCGTAAGCGGGAGGATCGTTATTATCTCTAGGGGGTGGATAACTCCCACCCATGGGTGTCATACTTTTGTATTGTGCCCCCATGGGATTGGGAAGGCTGAGCCCTCTTGATGGAGTAATCATGCCCCCTGGTGTGGCGATCGGGGTGGCGAATTGAGACCTCCTCTGAGCGATGATGGCTGTCTTGTCAGGTTTCTTCTTCTCCTCGGCCACTTCGCACGAACAAACTCTGCACGTCATTAGAACGTTCAGTGCCAGCTGAGCCAACCACAGAATAAACAGGATCCATGACGCTATCTGGCGAGATAGGTAATAACTGTTTCAGTAATGTGAGTAATGGTGCTACTTGGCAATAATTATTCATTTGAAAATTTGAGTGTTACCCACTGAAGCAACGACGAGACAGCCATAGAAGCTGTGCCCTCTGACTCCGTGTGTCACACCCCTCACAACTGATAACTTGCTCCAAAATAATGATTCCTTACCAAGGCTCCGACAGTTGTAGCTATAAAAATAAAGTTTATTTTACCTTGGAATTCTATTTTAAGAAGAAAAAGTTGTGTGAAAAATTTACTAACTTGATGTCTTTCTGGAGACCCAACTCAAGAACATTAGGATGTTTCATGATGAACGTCTCAGTTCTGTTGCAAAAGTCTGAGAAGCCGGCGGTTATGACACTGGCTCCAGAGATTTCAAGAAACATGATGAAGAAGTTGATGACTAAGAAGACAGGATTGAACGCTCTCAATATATAACTAATGTTCCAATCTAATATGCTCCTGAGTTTGTTTAGAAACAACACATACATCAATTATTTCTTTGATAATAGTTTTTTTTCTAATTTATACACACAATTTTAATAATTTAATAAAAAATCATTCTTCTTGTAAGCAAATAACCAAACCAATGACTCACTCGAAGGCTGACTTTTTCTCCAAGCATTTTTTTGAGTAGATGAGCAAGTTGACAATTCCCATGAAAGTGGCGTAGAAAATATTGACGGCCAGGTTCATGTACAAGATGTAGAGACACGAAGGTTCATTCCACGGCCAGATAACGTACTTTTGCCAGGGCACTATTTCGGCAAATAGAATACATGCTCCGTGAAAATTCCTCTGCAATACGAAATCGTCGTCATTTGAAAAGTTTCCATGATAATAGTTAAAAAAATAATGATTTGTGGTTTAAAATGGGCGAAATCATGAAAATGAAAATCTTACCAGGGTAATTCCAAGAGGAATGACAACGAAATATCCGAAAAAGGCAGCGAGAAAGTACAAAATTATCTGGACGACAATCGCCGTTGTACCGTGTGGGATGCAACCAACACGAGCCATTTTAACATTGATTTGTAATCAAATTCGCTAAATTTGCATTTATTTAATTAAATTAAGTCAAATTAAAAAAAACTATTCAACCAAGGTAGTACTAAATGTAATACAGGTAAAAACAATCAATCTAAAAGTGAGCAAAGTTCTAATAACTCAATCGAATTTTTTTGTTGCGTATAAACTAATACTTAAATAGCGTATACCATATACGTAAAATATGTATTCAAAGTTTATATTTAATATAATAAAAACTGCCAGTTTTTTTGAATGATATAATTTTGTTAAATAATTAAAAAATGTTAACGTTTAAATTTACAAAAATAGTTATCAAGGTTATCAACCTTTCGGCAGGTGTCATCATTTATTAGAAGCAACTTTTCTAAGCTTAGATTAACTTTTCAATACAAAATAAATAAACAGACATGGCGAGCTTTTTGATCAGAAGTGTTTTAAAAAATGTGCCGAAAACCACATCACATCTGACGGCCACCATTAAAAATAAACTGAATAATGTCTGTTCTAATCATGTTTCTATTCGGTTAGCTGAGAATTCAAATCATTTTCACATTTCCTTAACATTTTATTTATTTTTATCTGATTTGGCGAATTTGACTTTGAAATTTTTTTATTTTTAATTAAAAAGCGCTTCCATGCTTTCTACATCAAAATCATTTAACAATGTGGACAACAATAACCTGACTGCCTTCTTTGATACAAAAGAGAATTGGGAAGAGACTAGTATTGTTGTAGGTAGGTGGCGTTTTTTACTTAAAATTTTATAATATTATCTGTTTCTAAATGTTCCTTTCTGTATGTGTTAGTGCTCTTTAATGATTTTTCATATTTTTTTTTACTAGGGAGGCCGTGGAAAAAGGATGAACTTCGTTTAAAAAGCAATTCAGATCTTCATAAACTCTGGTTGGTTTTTTATACCTTATGTATTAATACTTTTTTTTAAATGTTTTTTAGTTATTTTATATTTGACATAATTTAACTCTAGTAACATGAATTAATTTACACACTGATGTAGAAGATTGATTGAAATAAATTAAGATTAAACTCCTATCAGGTATGTCTTGTTGAAGGAAAGGAACATGCTGATGACGATGGAGGCTGAATACAACCGACAATGCGAACTTTTTCCCAGCCCAGAAAGACTGGAAAAGGTAGAGGAGAGCATGGAGAACATTCTAGATGTGGTCAGAGAACGAAACAGAGCCTACAATCTTCTAGAAACTGGTAAAACTGGAGAACCCGAACGACGTTGGGTCTACAACCAATTAGGGATAGGTGGCTGGAGGACATGCACAGAACATTACATACCTCTATACATGAACTTCAAGTTTAAAAATAGCCTCTCGGGGCAGTGGCAGCATAAATATTTAAGACTTCTTAGGGAAAAAAGATTATATTTAAGATACTTGAAGAGGAAAAGTGAAATAGGGAGGGTTCTGTACCTCGAGAAGTTCTTTCCCCATCTAAAAAACACCATCAAACCCGATTTGAGTGAATTAGATAATAAGCTGGTTGATCAAATGAAAGGACCAAACGACATTTAACAATAATTTATTGACGTGAAAATAAATTCGTTAACATGGAAACAAATTGTATTGGTTTTTTCAATGAAACATGCACACTTGTTATGTTTTCTAGTGTGTTGTGTGTGTGTTGTTTTATGAGATTTAAGAAAATTTACAGAAAAAAATTAGCCGATCCAGCTGTACGTTGTTAGCGTGCCTGATTCTTGAATGAAATCACTCAAAAACAGCCACACACATGCGCGTAGCGTCTGCCATTGCAGTTATAAAAACGAACAATTCAGAAAAATCATTTAGGTCGGGTCAGAAAGGTCAAGTCGGAGGGGGAGTGGGCTATTTTTAGTAATGGTGTCGGTAATCTATGACGCAGTATTGACGTCATTTGAAAATCTTCAAGTGAAAAAACATCACTAAAGACTCTCTGACGTACGTCATACGAAGCTGAAGCTGATAGAATAGATGGCCATTGTTGAGATAAAATTCTGTCAACATCTATGTATGTGTGTGCGTGTGTACGTGCATATAAATACGTGTTTGTATGTATCTGTATATATATATGTATGGACGGTACTTTTGTATTGAGCTGTATGACGTAATATGCGACTGTGTATTTATTGCTTGTATTGCATTATGTACCTGGTATATTTATATAACACAAAACGGTATATGAATACACAGGCGTGGTATATATATATATATATATATATATATATATATATATATATATATATATATATATATTGATTTCATTACATATTATATATGTACATATAACTGTATAACGATAAATTGACAGTATTTTTGATTGGAATAGTTTTGATGTGAATCGCGCATGTAGTAGTATATCAAGAGAGAGAAAGAGTTTATTCATTCATTCATTCATCATCTACTCATTCATTCATTCGTTCGTTCGCTCGCTCATTCAACTGTATAGCTTTTTCTTGAGAGAACTCAAGGTCCTCATGATGAAATTCTTCTTCTTCTTCTTCTTTTGCATCATCAGTGACGTCATCATTTTGTGATCGTCATCGTCAACAGGTTGTTGTTGCTGTAGTTGCTGTTGTTGTTGTTGCGCTGACGACGGTAATGACACTAATTCCTCTGAAGCGATTGCTATTTTGTTATTGTCATCTTGCTGCTGCTGTTTCACGGCCGGACTGAAAAGGAATGAATGAATGATTGATTGATTGATTGATTGATCGATCGATTGATTAATTGATTAATTGATTGTTAGTTTAGTTGTTTAATTATCTAATTAACTAATTAAACCCCAAGTCTAAAAAAAAACTTGTTTGAGAAGGCGTACTTTTCTTCATTTTTATCTCCGACGTCTCTCAAACGATCACCAAATTGAAGCTGCTGCAGCTGATGTGGTTGCGACATTTTTTCTCCTACGTCTTCTCTTTTTCTGGAGCCATCATCATTTGCTGGACGGGGCCCGCGGCAGCTTTTGGACCGCCCCTCGATGATTTTTCTACTTAACTCTGCCAGTTTTTGATCCCTGGCTTCGATTTTTCTCCTCAGTTCTGTGGTTGGTTGGTTGACAGAAATTTTCCGGTTGGTTGATTGATTGGTTAATTGATGAACTGTTTAGTTGGTTGGTTGATCTTTTAGTTGGTTGGTTTATTGATTGATTGGTTAGTTGACGAACTATTGATATTTAGTTGGTTGGTTGGCTGATTGATTGATCTATTGTTTGATTGGTTGGTTTATTGATTAATACATTGATTAATTAATTAATTGATTGACTGAAAAAAATGTAATAAAAAAATGAGTAAAAACGTTTCCACCTGTCAACTTAGCAGAGCTTGAAAATATCCCATCGTTCCTGGCAAACAACGTACTCTCAAACTCTGACATTTAAAAATTAATATTCAACAAATATAAATAATTATTCATGAGCATGCTCATTTCATGCTAATCATGTTCGTAATTATCATGAATTAGTAAAATTTATTCATGTTAATAATCTATAAATCGCATACGGGATGCAGATTGGTTTCTATAAGCGGTTTCTGATTTTCCGGACCCTGGGATTTTAGGATAGAAAAAAATTATAACATAATATAATAATAATAATTATTATTATTAATAAGTATTATTATTAATAAGTATTATTATAACTTTTTGTATAATTAATATAATTGAACGAACGCAAGAAACCTAATACCAACATATCGATTTAGTAGACTTTCTCCTAACATCAGCTTAATGGGTTGAGAGGAAAAAATTATTTATAATATAAATAATACTTAAATAATACTAATTATAATAATAAATAATTTTAATTAATAATAATAATAATATTAATTAATAATAATATCAATTAAAAAGTATCATTACCAAGCTTATAACTTGTTCTTAAGATTCGCAGTGCCTCGATTGGATCGGTGCATATTGGTCCTGATTATGATGACGATGATGATGATGGTGGTGATAGTGTTGGGAGTGATGATGGAGGTGGTGATGATGGTGATGATACATCAATATTATTGTGATCTTTACCGTTAAAATCGTAATAAACATTTTTGTTACCAACACTATTTTCACCATCTGCATCATCATCATCATAACCATTACCGCTACAACCATCATCATCATCACTATCATCATCATCATCATAACTACCTCTGACAAATATATAATCCTTAGCGATGGTCGAATCAGAGAGAGACGGATGAGCTAGTTTTGTAACTTTACCATTATCATCATCATCATCACCACCATCGTTATCATCACCACCATCGTTATCATCACAGTTGTCATCGTTACCATCATCATCATCGTCATCATTTTGTTCTTCGGCCATAGTACAAGATTTGGGACGTTGGTAAAGATCAGTTGGATAGTAGCGGTCGTCATCGTATTCGTTATCGTCATAATGGTCATTTTCCTCTTCTTCGGCGCTCTTATCCTCCCCATCATCATTGCCGTCGTTGTCTTTGTTGAAGTTGGGAGTGTTTTGTTGTTGTTGGGATTGTTGTTGTTGTTGTTGTTGTTGTTGTTGTTGTTGGGGTTGGTTTTTTACAGACTGATTGTGCGAATATTGTTGCGGTTGTTGATGATTTTCAAATTGATCTATATTTTCATTTTGTTGAGATATCTGTTGATTTTGTTGAAATAAATGTTGTTTATAAAGTTGTTGTTGTTGTTGTTGCTGCTGCTGCTGTTGCTGTTGCTGTTGTTGTTCATCATTATCTGATTCAAATTTTTCACAGGCTGAATAGTATTGGTCCTCATAGCCTATTTGTTGTTCATCGAGTAGTAGTGGAAGCTGCTGCTGTTGCTTCTGCTGCTCTTGTTGTTGCTGCTTTTGTTGCTGTTTGGCCTCAAAATCTTCATCACGGGATAATTCCAGATGATGATGTTGTTGTTGTTGTTGATCATCATCATCATCATCATTGTCTAATCTAACATAGCGAACTTGAGATTTTTTTACCTCGTCAATAATATTTGTCTCATCGTTTTCAGTGTCTTTGGATGGTTCCAGTTTTTTGACGTCATCATAAACATCGTCATTGTTTCTACCATCATCACCATCATCATCATCATCATTATCATCATTCTTAACATCATTATCATCATCTCCGTCGTGGTCATCGCCATCATCATCATCATCATCATCGTCATCATCGTCATCATCGTCATCATCGTCATCATCGTCATGCCGGCCAGTTTCCAGAACAACCCCATCAGCCTTGCTTTCACCACCATCAACATCATTATCACCATCGCCATCATCAGTGACAGCAGCCGTAGAAGTAGCAGCACTAGCTGCACCACCAGCGTCGTCTTTACGTCTTCCAACATTATCACCTCTGTTACTATCTTCCGTTGCAAAATTTTGTCTAAATTCATTCAACATTACGGCATCATCATCAACAACGTCATCATCATCATCATCATTACTATTTTTATTATTATTAATTATATCATTATTATTTATTTTTGCAGTGTTTTCATTGCTTTCATTTCTATGTTTACTGTATCTATGGTTACGGCTGGCTATTAACTTTTGGTTCTTTGCGAATCCATCATCATCATCATCATCATCGCCGTCATCATCATCATCACTCTTACCATTTTTGTCCTCTACAATACTACTACCATCACCATCATCGTCTTTATTATCGTTATTATGAATATAAT